TCATTGCTCTGTAGAAGCCTGAAAATCATCAAGAAAAGCATTAGACTCCAACCAGTAATCATTTACTCACACTCATATTTGAAACTTGTACAATGTCCTTTCAACACAGTTTTGAAGAATGGGCCAGTTGCTTTTTGTCCATGCAATTAGTCCACATGGGGACTGGAGATTTCAAGCTTCAAATAGAATGCAGGTAAAAGTTTCATGAAGGTGGTTCATATGACGTATATCATACGATAAGATCTGTGTGAATAATCTTCCCCTCTTAACTTCTGCAGATGGATCATGATTTGCTGAGTTCAGAAGTGGCTCAATACAATTCAAGAATTAATCATTTGGAATAGCTTTGTAAACTGGATCAACTTATTCTCATTCTGGGGTTGGAACGCCAGGTGAGTACATAATCAGATGTATTGCATATGTCAACAGAAAGCACAATAACATCATATTTGTGGTTTCTTGTAGTTTAAATACCTGGCCTGGATGGTAGCTGGTCTGCAGGAAGCTGAGTGCCCGTTCTTCCATCCAGGAATGAGTCCACAAACTGACAGTGGTCTTCACCATGACCCGTCTGGTCTCCAACATTGTAGAATTTACCTGAAGGGATGAGGAAGAAAAGAGTTGCCAATTTATAATCTATTCTAGCTTCAAATGAACCCATTGTATGCATCAGTGTTTGAAAGACTGACCGTTGAGGGAGTCGCTCAGGTAGATCTTGTATCGTAGGGAGTTGCAGAGTTGGATGCCAACAAATTTGCGGTACCACGTCCTCTTGACATACTGCTTCCCATTGCACTCAGAATAGGAGTCGGTTTTGAAGGGGAACTGGGTCCAAATGGCATCTTTACCTGAACGGCATACCGAGAAACCCCAAGATGTTATTTTATGAACTGACGAGACCAGATATTATGTTCTGGCACAGACTGTGCAAAACATTGTTTCTTTCTGAAAAGATTACTGGAGTACAGACACCATTTTTGTTTATACACGTTAGCAAAGGCCTGCTGGACATTAAGAGCTGAGGGGCTGCCCCATTAGTTTCTGTTTCCATTGGCTCCTGTCATAACCTCGTCTTACTATTGGCTAACTTTGCTCTCTATATCCATTTTTCCATTACTCTGTCAATTTCGGCTGGAATAGAAAATACACAGGAAGAAATCGAGGGAGATTCATATCAAACTGGCCCATTCTTGCAGCTCAATGAGTGCAAGAAAGTACCGAGGCCCTTATTTGAGAGTAGGGATGGAGGAGGATGGTGTTATCCATTTGCCACTCTTGGGTAAATGTTTTGTCTGGCTGAAAAC